TTATTTAAAAAACATTTAAAGGTCGTTGATACGTCTGAACGAGATCGAGCTTTGGCTGAACTTGATTCTGAAAGGGTGATGCGTAGAAAAGCTGAAATGCATATTGCAGAGCTTAATATAAAGTATCAGATGGCCACTGCCGAGCTTACTTCTCTTCGAGAAGAATTACAAAGAACAGCTCTTTTGACTTCAGCTGGGGCCAATTCTTCTCGGTACACAGATCAAGTAGCTGCCGTGTAAGCAAATTTTAGATTTTCAAAAACATTTCTGTGATGTACTTGCTAGTTGATTTCCATATTACTAGGAGCTCTGGTCTAGAGAACGAAAATAGTCTCGAATATGCAGGTATCTACGAATTAACGAAATGTATCCCTCTCTCCAATGGAAATTGTCGCGTAATTGCCCCATACGGCTCACTTAATGTGCTATGCGTTTCACAACCTACAACTAATCCCATTTTTAAAGGATTTGGAATAAGAAAGGTATGTTTATGTTTAAGTATATATATTTATTGTTTTAATTTAGGTATATGCATAAGCACACCATTGTATATGGCTGGCTTCTTTGGAAGATTATTTGTATCACCGCCTTTTTAATAACTCCCTAAATTAACTTGAATTAGTTCACTCTGAGATAATCTTTGCTACTACTATATTAGTTTATTTAATATCCTTTTTTGATAATATAATTAGCATAAGTTGGTCAGTTGTGGAGGGACTGCTTAAATCTATCTGACGCCAATCACTATTGGAAAGTATCCCCTTAATATTAACTTAGTTGTGGCTCCTGCCATTTTCACTATATTAAATCCTTCGAGGGCTTATATATTTATTATTTGTCTTCTAGTCAGAATTTTTATAATCATCAAAGGCAATTATTTATCTAATTAATAAAGGTGTGATAGACTGGAGTAGGCATAACACACTTGCCTCCCGCTAAAAAAGTATCTTGATTCAATAAATTAACAATTCAGTTCACAGTCCATTAATTCTTGGGCAGAAAATTTAGGCTATTAGTTGACTTATCCAAATAAACTATTACTTATGCTA